CTGTTTTTCATGTTTCATTTGTTTTCATTCAATCAATTTACTGACATGTTCAAAAACAAGATTTTGACAAAATCCCATCGAAGTAGGCATAATTTCTGCAACTACATTTTTTTCAAACATTTTCAGAACGAAATTTACTTTCTTACACAAGCTGGTTATATACAGGGTGGTCTGAAAGTCTTGTCACTTCTACATAATATAATTTTCTATTTCAGAAGGCTGAGAAAAAGTCCTACATTTTGGAAGAGAGGGTTAGGGTGACAAGACTTTCGGATCACCCTGTATATTATTGCATTTTTCTCCTGGATACCTTATATATAATTTTTTTTTTTAAATTATTTTGGGAGTTACATTTTTTTTTTTTTTTTAACTAATAAATTTTTGTAAACCTCAAACTGAACTTTAGTTTGTTGTGGGCCAGTGTTTGTGTTGAGAGATAAACACATGTCTCTTGAAATGCCCACAACAAACATGGCAGACTTGGGATGTGAGTCCACGTAAAGAAATGTAAAGAAATAACATGACAATAATGTATGTAACAAATAAATGTGGAAACTTTTTGGGTGCAAAGTATGTATAGCGAGTGAATGTGCATACATACGTGTGTGTGTGTACATGTGTGTGTATTCATGTGTTTCCTAAAGGGAACGTGTTTTCTATCAGAAATTTAAATGTTGATGCATAAGCGAAAGAAGAGAGTGATAAAAAATTATCACAGAGTATTTATAGTCCTGAGAGCATGCCCTAGGAGCAGTTTCGAAAATTAGGATGTGCTAATCCAGCAACACTCCCCTCCTGATGGGTAGAATTTTTTCTGCCCATATGTAAAGATTGTGTAGTTGCTTCTGTCATCGTGAGTTGAAAAGAAAAGGTGTTGGAAATCTGGTTAAGATGCAAGATTAAACACATGTTGACATGTTGTACTTGTGCTGTCATCAGGGTGCTATCTTATTTTCTAGTTGAATGTAGGATGCTCTGGTAAATGCATCAGTAGTGTAAATTGTTCAGAATTTGCTATTAAAATTTTTTTTTTTCCAATGCTCCACATTGAATTGGTTTTATCATCTCGTATTGGTTCCTTGTTTTTAGAAAGGTTTTGTTAGAGAAAGGCCTTCTTTGTTTGCTATGTGTGGATAATGTCGGCACACAAAATTTAATAGAAGCAGCATTGTGGCAAAGTTGAGCTAATGTAGAATTTTTACTGAGTATTGAATGCATGTTGAGCTTTATTGTCTATTGCATATCATACTTGCAAATTCTTAGTGTTATTTGAGTGGCATAGTAAGAGTGAAAAAAAAAAGGACAGTGAGTCGCCTTTTGAGGTATGTTACACTTTATCTGATGAGCCCAGAAGAAACAGTGTTGATTAAAGTTGAAATGGAGTTGTATTTTTGTTTTGTCAAAAAATAATTTTTTAAAAGATGTCTACCAGTTGAGGTCAAGTCGAGCATAATGGTACTGAGAGAAGAAAAGGGTCAAGCAAAAAGGCAGTAGGAGTGTGAATTGTTTGCCCACTGAAATGCAGTAATTAAAAAGTGATTTGTGATTTTTTTTTCATGTCCCACATGTTGCAAAAAAAATCTACTTGTCAAGTATCAGAACATCATGTGTTGTAGAGATCTTGTAGGGTTTGAAATTTGTGATTTTGTATTTTTAGTGGGTCTAATCACAAATTTTGTAGTTGTGTAAATTGTTTTTGCTAATAGTAGTATCTGCCATGCATGGTAGGATAAGAAGAGAAGTTTTTTTGATGTTTTTCTTTAGTAGCTCTAGGTTCGAAAAGATGTGTAAATGTATATTTGAGTCTGCACATATATAGTCTTGAGTGTTTGTTGTTATCAGGAGAAAAATAATTATCACTTTGGGGTCACCAACTTGTTGTGGGCTGGTGTATGCATTGAGAGATAAACATGTGTATCTCCTGAAATGCCAACAACAAACATAGCGGACCCGGATGTGAGTCCATGTAAAGAAATGACAAGACAATACTGTGTGTAACAAATGAATGTGGAAACTTTTGGGGTGTAAATTATGCTTAGTGAATGAATGTGCATATGTATATGTGTGTATATATTGTTCATGTGTTTTCCAAAGGGAACATGTTTGCCGCAAGAGATTTACATGTTGATGTGTCGGTGGAAAAATTAAGAAGAGAGTGATAAATTATTGCAGAGTATTTATAGTTCTGAGAGCACTCCCTAGGAGCAGTTTCAGAAATTAGGAGGGAACCTGAAAAGTTTACCAAGAATAAATTTGTTCATTAAATAACACAATTTATATCTTTGAATTACACACAAGTATTATTATTTAAACCTACATTAAGAAAAATGCTTAAACAACTATTTATTGGTAAATGTCAATCTTTACAATGGGCATTTTCTCATCAATTGTCCACACTTTAAAAAAAAAGATTTTTTTTAATTATAAATAATAAATAAATGAAGCAATCCTGTAAATATTTTTAAAATCAAATTTGACGAAATCTGTTTTTATAGATTTGCTTGCTAATAATGAGCCACAAGGAAATTCTGACATATATTTTGTTTTTTGTACTTTATTTCAAATCTCCTGAAAGTTAAACAAGTGAAAAATACTTTTAATTTAAAAATAAACTTTTAATATCTTACTTCGATCACTGTTTTGGTTGGTGTGCTCTCCAGCCTGCTTCGTTTTTTTTGTTTATCAGAGGTGAACTAATAATTCTATTCTATATTTATGATTCAGACTAGTATCTCTATCACTATCTTTCAGCTATTAATAAACAAGCTATTTTTTTTTCTAACAAATCATTTTTTTCATAACTTTCGCCTACAATTAGAAAAAAGAATTTACACCCGAATAACATAGATGCTCTTGTTAAAAAAAAAAAAGGAAAGAAAACATAATTAGTGATATGCAAGTGAATGACTTCTGAGGAATTTTGGAGAACACATCGGTTAAAGAATATGAAGTAACACAAAATTGTCCATAAATAATTTAGAGAACAGTATTGTATTGTTTTACCCAAAATTTTAGACAGCATCTCAAAATTACTAAATAAATTAATCTTGTTTGTAAATTTAACAAAAAAATGTTATTAAAAAAACAATATCTATTTTGAAAACAGATATCAATTGAGCCTAGAAATGTAAAATAAAATTTAAAAAAATAGTAGTACACCTTTTCTTTTTTTTCCCTACGTCCTTGAAACAATCTCATTCATTGACCCTCTACCTTGAGTGGCTCTTCTTAAGCCTTGTGTTGGGTGGACAATAGTAAAGAAAGACTGAATCGAGATGCAATTAAACAACAAAAGTACACCAGATAATCGATAAAGAAAATTAACTAGAGGGTGGTCCGAAAGTCTTGTCACTCCATACCAAAATGTAATAGACGAACAAGTAATATACAGGGTTGTCGGAAAGCCTTGTCACCTTCTACCAAAAAGAAGTAATGAAAACAATAGAAGAACAAGTAGTACAATAATACAGAGGACATGTAATGGATTCAGTTTATTATTCACTTTCACTGACGCTGTCAGATATCGAGAAGGTCTGGATGAACAGCATCATTTTTCTTGAACAAACAAAATGATGCGGCGTCATGTCCTGGCGTGTGATATTTTATGAAGCTGTGCTTTGTTAATTGTTGCAGAGGCTCTCCGAACGGTGTCCTTTGATGGGTATTATTCTGGTATCGTTCATGTGAAACTCTCTCCTTGATGATAATACGCCACAGATTATTGATAGACGAAAATTATATTATGTAGGGGTGATAAGACTTTCGGACCACCCTGTACTTTCATTATTCATTTACTAACATTAAGTAGATTGTTAGAGATAATTAGAAATTGTATTATTTCATTCAATGAAATGATTCAATTACTAAAATTTAAAATTTTACAGACTTTTAATATTTTGATCGCAATCGATACTGGTACAAAGCAATATATTGTGGAGCACTTTTCCACTTAGATCTTTTTTTTTTTGACTTAACTACCCAGATTTTTTTTTTAAAAAAAAAAAAAATATTTTGTAAAAAAAAAAAAAAAAGGCTTTTTCGGTCATTTTTTTTCTTTCGTTTAAAAATGAATTCCTAAAAAAATGTTTTGAAGAAATAAATGAGTTTTTTACTTTTTTTTACTTATTGTCAAATGTCATATTTTGTAAAAATTTAAAATAAACATTTTTTTTCTTAAGGCGATAAACAAAAACACAAGATCAAGTATTAAAAAAAAAATAAACAATTAATTTTTTGTTTGTATTAAAGTAAACAAACAACTACTAAGTTTTTAACTTGTACAGGAAGATTGGCGCTAATCAATCTTCCAAGCAAGGCGGGCCTGCATGTCTTGAAAATCAATGTCTAAAACAGAAATCCTGTTTTTAGAGTTTGTTTCTTTGTTCCAATTTGTAATATTTGTGGTGAAATCCACAATTGATTCAGCCACGAAGTAAAAAACTACAAAAATAAATTGAATGATGGCTGTGTAGCGGATAGTAAATTTTTAAAAAATAAGTCAAAATTCAACGAAATTTACTTTCTAAATTAAATACAAATAAATATTTATTTATTTAAAAAAATTATTAACATTGTTTTTTTAGATCATAAAAATATTTTTTTATAGATTTTTTGTTTCATTTCATGACTCAGTCAAATGTCCAGTGTAACTAAAAACTGTTTTTATTTCACATCACTCTTCTTAGTCTTATTTCCATTAATTCGCTGAAAAAGAGTATACCCCAATGAAAAAAGGTCCCAAACTTAAAAAAAAAAAATTAAAATCTATTTTTAAAGAGTCTTAAAAAATGGATTCCTAGTTATAGCAATTAGAAAAGGAAAAATCAGCTAAAAAATATCAAAGAAATGAGAAATGACTTTAAAACTTTGTGATCATTAATCACCCCTGTAATACCGAACTTAGGGTTGATTGAAATATTTATAAATAAGTTTTAGAATTTTTCAATAAAACTTTTCATTATTTCTCAATAATAATAAAACGACAATATTTATTTACTTACTTTTTCAAATTGTATTCACTACATCTGGCAGGATAAAGAGACAAAGAACGACGTAAGTTTCACCTGGACGGAGACTGACAGGTAAGTAGACAAACAATACAATAAGTGTTGATTACCCAAAAAAAAGTCACGTTTTCAGGAAGAGCCAGTCACTGGCAACTCGTACTTCCTTGTTTGTAGACATTTATTTAAATCTTCATTATAATTTTACTGAGATGCAATTTTGTGTAGGTCTCACAGTAGTACCTTTTTTCCTAACTTTTTCTTTTTATTGTCTTTGAAGAATATTTTGTTTTTATAATTTACGTTAATGTGAAATTTAAAAAAAGATTTAACTTGAAAATGCTAACGTTTTTTTTTACACCTTTTTTTCTCTCTACAATCCATTTGTTTTTAAATACCAACAGTAAATTAAAAGACAAACACGGTATTTAAGTGTATAATTTTGATGACGCTTTTAGTTTTATTACAATACTTTAAAATTAAAACAGAATGAGACACGGGATTTCCTCGACGTTTCGCTTGCTAAATTGTTTAAATAAAAAAAACATATGACGTAATCGAAATCGGAGTTACTTCCCTTTTTCCACACCTTGAATCAGGGCCAAAAGTTTTTTTACGGGGGGGGGTATAATTCGAGAGTTAAAATTTATATGTATTTATCGTTTATTGTTTTTCAAATAGATTTTTTGATTTCGAAATATATATTCAGATATATTCCCCTTCGTGCTGATGTTTTTGTTTACTTTTCTACGAGAAAAAACGTTTTATGAAGCCAGCTATCAATGTTTTTTGGGTATGAACAAATTCTAGAAAATAATTGAAAATTCTTCTTAAGCTAAGAAGCAGACCAGAATTTCTTTCAATTCCCTCAAAGATTTATTGTTGGTTGGTGAATCACTCGGCAGCGCTTAATTTTTTCTTTACTTTACAAAATGTTTCATCACAATCTCACCTATTTTGTCTGCACTTTTTTTTATCACCTGTTTTATTTTTATTTTTCAGTGAAATCGCAACCCTAACACACATAAAAGTCAACTATTGTTTGCTTCGAGTAACTGTGTACTGTAGTCAATACTTTCGTTTTTTTTTTTGCTCATGCGAATTATGGCCCTCTCCTCCATTCTAGATTTTACCGAAATCACGCTACTTCGGCAAGTAAGCAAAATTGCAGATCTTTTCGAACAAGTGAAGCTTAGGGTTAAAAAAAAAAAAAAAAGAACGAAAGACAAAATATTATATCTGGAAAAACCGTACATGGAAGGGTTGGTGAAACACTGAAAAGACAAACCTTACTAAGAGCTACAAATGATAGGAAGTTATAGAGAGCTATGATCGCCCATGTCCATAAGGGACACAGACAGCAATATTTAGTTACCCCACCACGAGGGTTACATGTGGCACAAGGCCGGTTTAACGTGGGATCTCCGAGCCCGTAGGCTTGGTCAAAAGTCAAAACTAATCCCTCTTTGAACCCACATAAACGGGTTCAGGGGCAGTCAACCTCCCCAAACGAGACTCTGCCCTTCAACAGGGACTCGTCCAGGTTCCTCTCCGCCCGAAGGCAGAGAATTCGACTGTTTAGCTGTCACAGGTCAACTGTAGACAGCTCTAAGGGACACAGACAGCACAGAGAAGAAGAATCTCTAATAGTATACTGATAATTGCTTTTGTTAAGTAAAAAAAAAAAAAAAAAAAAATTAATAAAATCCAATAGTTTATTTTTGGTAGATTTTGTTTTTTAATTGGGCACTTTTTTGGGTTAAAATGTTTTTTATGGAAATTATTTTTCTTGATAACTTTTCATACTACTATTTTTCACAAATATCTCCAGTTTCTATAAAATGTGCACAAATAATTTTACAGTGTAACCCGGATATAAGAGACCCGGATATAAGAAAAACCCTGATATGAGAGAGATTTTCTCTGATTCCAAATTAGAGCCCATACTTACCTAAACAAAATAGACCAAACTCGGATATAAGAGAAACCCGGATATAAGAGACTTCTTCTCTGGTCCCGACAACTCTCTTATATCCGGGTTACACTGTATATCAATATTCCTTCCAGTCTCTCTTCTTAGTTATGGCAAAAAGAGTTTGATGATTAACTAATTGTAATGAGTATCTAAACAAGTTTCTCACCAAAATGGTTTGTTTATGCTCTTGCCACTCAGATTTGTGGGGATTACTCACACTTGGTCTGGCAAAACACCTGTTAGGTGGTGCTGTTTAAGTACTATAAAAAGACAAACATCCCCTTTTCTCACTCTCTTTTTCTCCAAGATGTAGCAGGACCTAGATGAGGGTGTCCCAGCTGGGTATGTTCCTTTCCCTGGTTGACTAATGACTGAATTCTTACACATATATGTATCAAACACTCAGATACTCATAATTCTTAATAACTAGGTTTTAATGTCTTTTTTTTTCTTTTTCATCTGTGTATACAATAATGTACTTTCTTCTGTTAATGCATTATTAACTGTTAATTGTTTGAAATACATGTTTTGTGTTATTTTTACCTGGACTCACATGAGTCCACAAAATATTGTTTGCAGGATAAACGTATGTGTAGGCATTAAAATGAATCCCTTCCAGACCTACAACAGATTTAAATAACTGACCTGAACCGTTAAAGCTGTTGCATTAGTGAATCCTGAAGTAGTGAAATCTAACCAGTTTTTGGTAAATTGAATTCAAAAACTTTCTTGCTTGTTTGATTATAATCTTGGATTAATATGTTTTTTTTATTTTATCTCATTTAGTTTGTAAATAGCGTCTTTTATTTTTTTTAAAAAAAAGAAGTTTTTTACTCTATCAACAAGACTTTTTGAATGATAAATATAAAATTAAGTAAACCAATCTTAATTGAAGCTGTGAAATATTGTGGTAATGTGCACATTAAAAAGGAAAAGGACAAAGTAACCAAGCCAGTTTTGTTAAATCAACAAGAGTGTGAAGCACTGCCGCACTAAAGTTGGACACCAGAAAGTTCAAAATATTTTCTGATCAATCATTTTTGCTTTTTCTAAATTTGGGCAGCTTATAAAGGTTAGCACACAACAGCTGCAGAGGGGACAGTAAGCAGTCATCTAGCACAGAGGTATTCGGACATCATATCACCTGGCATTGCAGACATCCACGTCACTTTATTTACTTGGTTTTCCGCTATGTAATTTATAATTCTGTTAGTGCCAAAAGAGTTCCAGTGAACCCATCTCAATTTTCACAAAGAAGAAAGATATCTCGCCATGTCCAGAAGCAAGATCCCGATGATGATCTCACTCCAGCATGTTGGGAGGAAAAAATAAGATGAGAGAGAAAGACAAGAAATGTTCCATTTTTATAGCTGCTTGACTGTGCCCTCTAACAACTTCTTGACAAAACTGGTGAAGCTATGTGGGGTTAACCCACAAATGATAATATATATAATTGAGTACCTGTGGACTTACTTGTTTATAAATAAAGAGATTTAAGGATAGATAAAAAAATTAAAAAACATTTCAGTTGATGATTTATCAAAGTTTATATAGAGATAAGTGCAATATTAGTGTTTAAAGATAACCAGTTGATAATACATGCAATTTGAAGTTAGATAAGAAATTGAGATTTCTAGTTTCAGTAATTTTGATACAAATGATTACAGAATTTCAAATAATCTAAAGAAATCATCTTTAGAACAATGGAAAACTTGAAAAATATAACAATCTCTTAATACAGTCTGGCAGAAATAAAAAAATGGCAGATTTGTTGCATTATGTGCATTTCCAGTTTAATGCTGAGTCTTATGTAATTTGATCAGTAGAATCACATGGTGCTAATTTAAAGTAATTTTAAGCAATATATAAGATTATTAGAAGCCTCAAAGTGGCAGATTTGGTGCATTTTGTGCATTTCCAGTTTAATGCTGAGTCTTATGTAATTTGATCAGTAGAATCACATGGTGCTAATTTAAAGTAATTTTAAGCAATATATAAGATTATGGCCTCAAAATGCAGATTTGTTGCATTATGTGCATTTAATTTAATGCTGAGTCTTATGTAATTTGATCAGTAGAATCACATGGTGCTAATTTAAAGTAATTTTAAGCAATATATAAGATTATTAGAAGCCTCAAAATGGCAGATTTGTTGCATTATGTGCATTTCCAGTTTTATGCTGAGTCTTATGTAATTTGATCAGTAGAATCACATGGTGCTAATTTAAAGTAATTTTGAGCAATATATAAGATTATGAGAAGCCTCAAAATGGCAGATTTGTTGCATTATGTGCATTTCCAGTTTAATGCTGAGTCTTATGTAATTTGATCAGTAGAATTACATAGTATCAATTTAATTTAATTTTGAGCAATACATAAGATTATTAGAAGCCTCAAAATGTCAGATTTTTGCATTATGTGCATTTCCTACATATTAAAGGTGGACAAAAAGACCAAAGTAACTGTTATTAAAAAAATTATTCAACTGTTTTTTAAACAATAGGCTACAGTTTTTATTCATTTGGTTTTTAAAATGATGTCCCCCAAAATGGTGGCCTCTATTTGCCATACATTGTTGTAGATGATTTCTAAAGTTTTCCATTAACCAGAAGTTCAAATGTTTTGAGGTCTTGCAGGTCTATTTCTCTTAAGAGTTGAGCCTGTTGCTCTGAAATTTTCAAGCCATAGCAGCACAATTTTCCATCTAGTACAGCATCATGCTGACATACTATGAAATGATTATGAAAAGCACTCAGTGTTGTAATTACAGATTCACCAGTCTTAAAAAAATGTTTCAATGGCAAAATGCATGGTGTGCACCAGTCCAAGCCATCATGGTAACTGGTGGTATCTGAGCATAAAATGGTAAGACATTAGCTAGATCAAGATACCATTGTCACTTGTCTAAGTGTCGTATAGGCCCCTCATTCTGGGGAGCTTTTGGATAGAGACTGAGAAGTAAGTAGACAAACAATAAGTGTTAAGTACCCGAAAAACCTCACGTTTTCAGAAATGTTTTTGAGGAAGAGTTAGTCACTGGCAATTCACAATTCCTTGATTGTGGACATTTCATTATTTTCCTGAGGTGCAAATTTTTTTCCTAACTTTTTTTTTTTTTATCGTCTCTGAAGAATATTTTGTTTTTATAATTTACATTAATGTGAAATTAAAAAAAGATTTAACTTGAAAATGCTAACATTTTTTTTTTTCACATCAATTCCATAATAAAGACATCTTCTCTCTCTCCCTCTCTCTCTCTCTCTTATCTTCTCCTGGCCGGGTAGCAAAATGTTTTTAGGGTCCAGAGATGAAAAACATCAACAAAGGTACTTTAACTTAATTATTTTGTTTAACACATCGATGTATACATCTCTAACTATCCAGTGGGGTTGCTCTCTCACGCCACTGGGGGGGCAGATCCAGACAAGACAGAGAACATGTCTACACTATTCAACGTGTATGACTTGACTCATCAAAATCCTTTTCTCTATCTATCATGTTAGTTCAGTCAATCAAAATTGACTTCCTTTGTTTCGTCCTGTATCTAATTTCAAAGATAAAACAACACTTCTCT